ACGTTGCGGTGAGCCGAGATCACGCCACTGCACTCCAGCCTGGGCAACAAGAGCAAAACTCCGTCAAAAAAACAAACAAACAATGACCAAAAAAAAAAAATTCAAAATGATGGGAGAGTCCTGAAAGCGAGGTGGCATTATGAAGCAAGAAGGCTTTCATGCAGCTGCTTCTGAATTTGGAAGAAATTTTCTAAAGTTTAGTAACTAAGGTATAAAGTTACCGACACTATGAATGAAATGTCAATGGAAGATTCTACAAACTAAATACTGCCATTAAAAAGAGGTGGGAAAGGTGCTGCTTTCATCTTCTGATCTCAGCAAGCAATCTCTCTGAGGCACCCAATCCTAGCTCAGTTCCCACTTCCTCCATGAAGCCTTGGCTGACTATTGCAGTGGGAATGTTTTCTTCTCACTAAGGATCTTATGTTCAGATTGGTGGTAAGGGTAAGTAGTATAAACTCAAATGAATAAACATTAGAACATTTCTGTTTTCTTTAAATTTTATTTTAAGTTCCAGAAACATGTGTAGGACGTGCAGGTTTGTTACATAGGTAAATGTGTGCCCAAAACATGGCTCTTAAAATTTGTTTAGAAATTGGAATTTGCCTTACTCTGTAGGTGTCAGAGGAGTACGGTCTGTGATGTTCAGAGGATTACGTCTCTCAGAATGTGCTCTTCCAATTTAGTAAGTCTCTGATGTTCAAAGGATTAGGTCTCTCAGGCCGTGCTCTGAAGTCAATGCCAACTAAATCCCTTTAGAATTATTTCAAATATCTGAACCATTCTCTACCGGTGACATAAATATTGGCATCAACCTCTTTGTAGAACTATTCTCCCAAATGATCAAGAAGATAGAGCTTAATTGTGGGATCTACTTTAAAAACTGTTATCAGGCAACCAACTGGCCCCTCTAAAACTCTTAGCAGGGAAAATTCAGGTGAGAAAGAATTTAAAATTTATTTTTGCTAGAAATATTAATCACATGAAACATTTTTTTCTCTAAGTTATTTAAGGTTTTTTTTTTCTTAAAACTCTAATTTCTCAATGTTTTAAGATCTTTAAATTATTTTTTAAATCTGAAGTCTATTGTGTAAGCTTTAAGCAAATGACTATCATTCATTTGTATCACTTCTGAAATTATTAGGAGCCTAAATTTATACCAAGAGATAAAAGCACACATATTTAGTAATAACAGAATACATTAATGAAGACTTTGAAACTCATTTGAATAATGTAGTTTGTCCTATTACTTATAAACTTGATGAAATGAATTATTAACCTCTACAATGAAATAGTGTTTAAAATTTTTGTGTTGGGCATTCCTATGTATTAAACAAATTATATGAGTAAAGACTATAATTTCAAACCAGTCTTTCAAACCCCAATATAATTTTGGGGAATGTTCTTGTTTCTTTTTTATTCTTAGAGAAATAAAATATCATCGTAAAATTTATTTCTATCTGGCCAATAGACAAACGGATGAACTGAAGGAAATTTTATATTATATAACTTCAAGCTGGCAAGGGCAAGGCAGTTAATGAAAAAGTTATTCAAATTACATAAGTTTCAAATGTTATTTTAAAAATATTGATCTTAAAGTTACATCAGCTGGGTGCAGTGGCTCATGCCTGTAATCTTAGCACTTTGGGAGGCTGAGGCGGGAGGATCACTTGAGGTCAGGAATTTGAGACTAACCTTGCTAACATGGTGAAACTCTGCCTCTACTGAAAATACAAAAAATAAATAGCCAGGTGGGTGGCACATGCCTATAATTTCATACTTGGGAGGCAGAGGCAGGAGAATCTGTTGAACCTGGGAGGTGGAGGTTGCAGTGAACCAAGATTGTACCTCTGCACTCTAGCCTGGGAAACAGAGTAAGACCTTGTTTCAAAAAATAAATTTAAAATATATATAATATGTATATATACATCATCTTCAAGTAATCTGAGATTTGAAAGTTAGTAATATTTTCAGAAACCAAAAAGAAGAGATCTTTTTTTATCTTTCCAAAATGGTTTTCCTCTGTTCCCAAACTTCGGAGTATAGTTGTGGTTAATGAATACCCAGAAAACTGTCTATCTAGAAATATCTAGGAGGGTCAGTTAACCTTTCAAAGCAAGTAGGTAGCATAAAGCAAGCATCCAATAACTATCAGCTCAATTAATAAATGATTCCCAAAGTAACAAAGATAAATAAGGTAGATTGAAACAAAATGCTCCCCAATAGGTAAGAACTCTTTGTCTATAAGTACATATAATGAGTAGATAATGAAGATTTTTAAAAATCCCAAAATTTTAATAAATGTGAACACCCCAGAATCTAGGAATACAATGAAAACACATGACATTTGAAAGAGTAAAAGTTAACACCAAAGAGATACTGCTTCCATAGAGGAGGTGACCTTAAGATTGCATTACCACATGATATGAACAGATGCCTGAATAGTTTGAGATGCAGGATTGCCAGCAAATTACTATTATTTATAACTGGTGATGCCATTATCATAAAAGTGGAGTAGGCAGCTGCTCAATGAATCCATTATAACATTATTCACAGCAGAATTGTAAAATGCAGAAAACATTAGTTAAATTCCCATGATTATTGTGGACTTAATCAAGTTATAAAACACTGCAGACCTAAAAGCATGCCATTTTATTTGCTTAATAAAAAATTTCTTTGCTGATTATTGAAGCAATAGCCATTGCAGACAATTTGAAATGGAGGAAAATATAAAGGAGAGAAATAGTTGACCTCTGATTTTATTGCATGAAAAAACTAGTACTATTATGATGCATTTTCATGCTACTGTTTAACCTTCATATGTAAGCATTTATTTGGAAATTGCAATTATTTTGTTTATAAAACTTTCTATTTTGTTTTTTACGTAACATATTTCTATCTATTTTATCATTACAATAATCTCCAAGGTAAACAGTATTTTTAATGATTGTACAATATGTCATCAGGTGAATGATTCACATTTATTTCATCTAACTGACTAAATGGTTATACCACCACTTTCAGGTGTTTTGAATTTTTTTATGATTATGAATGAAATTACAATTATGTTAATCTTTGTGGGAGATGCTAATTATTTCTTTTTGGTCAATTCATTATTATTGGCCAAAGGATGTGAATGTTTAAGAGTTTCTTTAATTTATTACAAATTATTTTCCAATAATTGCACCAATTTTGGCTACCACTATATACGATCATTTCTTTTTTAAAACATCTTGCCATTTTAATAGACAAAATAAATATAACCTTGTAGCTATTTCAAATTATGTTTCTCTGATTAGTAATGAAGTTAAAAATTTTTAATTTGTAAAAAATTATATTTCCTTCAGATTTTTCTGTTCCTGCCATTGACCTGTTTTCTAGTGATTATGTGTACTGATTCCTTCCTAAAATACAACTAGAGAAACAATATCCTATTTATTCCAGTCTCCTAGTTTTTGTTTGATGCTTGATTTTTATTCATGATTTTTGATATATACTTACATAAATAAATTTGTCAACTTTTAACCCTTTTCTTGAATTTTTGATGGCATTTGAATTTCATGCACACATGAATAATTTTACATTGTATGCATAAATTGTATATAAATAACCTGGATGGTTTCTAGTATAGGCATTTTTTCTCATTTCCCCTAATCTCTCTGTCTCCTCCCCACTTCCACCCACATCCCTTTTCCTCCCTACCCCAGAGGGGTACAAATACCTTAAAAATAGCCTGTTTCCAAAGCATGTTATGTTTAAGTGTACACTCCAGTAGTATTTGAGATAGTAAATTACTAAGAATATACAACTCAAAATAGGCATTTAAATTTTTTATTGTGGTAGAAAATACATAACAAAAAATTTATCATCTTAGCCATATTTAAGAGTGTAGTTCAATAGAATTAAGTACATTTGCATTGTTGTATTAATACAGTCATCACCACTACTCATCTAGAACTTTATTTATCTTCCCAAACTGAAACTCTGTAACCAATAAGAAATAGCTCCCCGTTCCCACCTCCCACTGACAACCACCACTCTATATTCTGTCTATAAATTTGACTACTCTAGGTACCTGTAAATGGAGTAATAGAATATTGGTCCTCTTTTGACTAGCTTATTTCAGTTAGCATTATGTCCCCAAGGTTGATCCATGTTGTAACAAGTCAGAATCTCATCCCTTTTTAGGGTTGAATAGTGTTCCATTGTATGTATATATCACCATTTATTTTTTCATCATCCTTGGACATTTGGGTTGTTTCCACTTTTTGGCTATTATGAATAATGCTGCTATTAACATTGGCATATAAAAATAGTCTTTTAAACAACCTTGTTAATCAGTACATATATATTCATTGAAATTTTTGGGAACGTTGATACCAATTGCTGATATTTAAACTATGGATCAGCTTTACTTAACCCATATAGAGAAGTGTTGTTCTCTGGATCTTTCTGTGAAGACCTCAAAAGCCATCTTTGTGAAGATAATCTGATGTTTTTCTTCCTCAAAATGTGCTGGAAATATTCACAATAGCAGAGACATGGAATCAACCTAAATGCCCATCAACAATTGACTGGATAAAGAAAATGTGTTACATACACACCATGGAATACTGTGCAGCCATAAGAAAGAATGAGATCATGTCCTTTGTAGCAACATGGACAGAGCTGGAGGCCATTATCCTAGGCAAACTAATGGAGGAACAGAAAACCAAGTATTGCATGTTCTCACTTATAAGTGAGAGCTAAACACGGAGTACACATGAACGGAAAGAATGGAACTACAGACACTGGGGCCTACTTGACGGTGGAGGGTGGAAGGACAGAGAGGACTGAAAAGCTACTATTAGGTACCATTAAAATGGTTTAAAAATGATTTTAAAGGGTACTGAAAATATATTTCATCACTAGCCAAAGAGGTAATTCTTTACGAAATTCATTCTCCCCATGAACGGGGCATGCACCAAAGTCCAGGCAACATGAGGAAGCATTGTGGAAGATGCTCTCCTTCCTTTAAGCCAAAGAGACCTCAATAGTTGTGGCATATTATAAATTAGTGCCTTATTTCTCCACAATTGTTTTTCAGACAAGTCAGGAATGGCTGAAGAAAATCATACCATGAAAAATGAGTTTATCCTCACGGGGTTTACAGATCACCCAGAGCTGAAGACTCTGCTGTTTGTGGTGTTCTTTGCCATCTATCTGATCACCATGGTGGGGAATATTGGTATGATGGCACTGATATTTACCCACCGTCGATTTCACACACCAATGTACATCTTTCTGGGAAACCTGGCTCTTGTGGATTCTTGCTGTGCCTGTGCCATTACCCCCAAAATGTTAGAGAACTTCTTTTCTGAGGACAAAAGGATTTCCCTCTATGAATGTACAGTACAGTTTTATTTTCTCTGCACTGTGGAAACTGCAGACTGCTTTCTTCTGGCGGCAATGGCCTATGACCGCTATGTGGCTATATGCAGCCCACTGCAGTACCACATCATGATGTCCAAGAAATTCTGCATTCAGATGACCACAGGGGCCTTCATAGCTGGAAACCTGCATTCCATGATTCATGTAGGGCTTGTATTTAGGTTAGTTTTCTGTGGATCGAATCACATCAACCACTTTTACTGTGACATTCTTCCCTTGTATAGACTCTCTCGTGTTGATCCTTATATCAATGAACTGGTTCTATTCATCTTCTCAGGTTCAGTTCAAGTCTTTACCATAGGTAGTGTCTTAATATCTTATCTCTATATTCTTCTTACTATTTTCAGAATGAAATCCAAAGAGGGAAGGGCCAAAGCCTTTTCTACCTGTGCATCCCACTTTTTGTCAGTTTCATTATTCTATGGGTCTCTTTTCTTCATGTACGTTAGACCAAATTTGCTCGAAGAAGGGGATAAAGATATACCAGCTGCCATTTTATTTACAATAGTAGTTCCCTTACTAAATCCATTCATTTATAGCCTGAGAAATAGGGAAGTAATAAGTGTCTTAAGAAAAATTCTGATGAAGAAATAATCTCAAGAAAGATGGAAACAAGTGACATCCACTATAGCTTAATGATTTAAATGCAGCAAAAACATCCATATGAAATTACACAGAGGAAATGCACAAATTATAAGTAAATTTGAATATATAATAAAACTTTCAAATTAAGTGGCAATAGGTAAGGGTAGAATATACAAACAAAAGAGTCAACTGTGGTAAAAATTCAAAATAACAAAAATGAAATTCTAATTTTGAGCTCATTCAAGTAACAGCGCAGTATGTTGTCAAGCTCTTGGTCTGTGTTGGCATCAAGGATGGTAAGCATCCAAAAGAACACAGCAAAACTGGAAGTTACAAGTTGAAAGGACCATTCCATTAAGCATTGATAACTAGATAAACTATTTTAATAGCTTAGAGCATGAGCATTATGGTTAAACTGAAAGGGCTTAAGATCATGTGATGGTCAACCAGTAAAATCACTTACATCCATGAGCAACAAAATTGTGGCAAGCGAATTTTGAGAAATCAATTTTAATAGCATTATGGGGACATTACTGTAGTTAGAAAGGAAGTATTGGGAAAACGAAGCTGTCAAATAATAGTGAATATCAGATTTCCAAATTTAAATTATTATTGAGTTAAATATTAAACACAGAATGTCAATTTTCAAGATAAGCTACATTAAGAGAGTTCTATCTACTCTCACATCTACCTGCATAAAGATACCATAACATAAACTTCCAGAAAAACCGTTCAAACCTCATGTAGGATTTGAAGAGCTGCTCTGTCAGTGAGTTAGGCGCAATGTCTCCGTGCTCCTAGCTGAGAGGTGAGGAAAAGCTTCAACCATAGAGACACTACCCTAGGTATATTATATATAGAAATGTAAAACATAGCATTGTTAAACAGTAGGTAGGGCTTATCTAATTTTTTTTTCTTTTCACTATTGCAAAACCTGAAGTTGGGTTTGTGGGTAGAGTAATGACTTTAATGTAATATCATTTTAAAAATTACTTTCCAATTATTCACTCAACATATACTTATTGAAATCCTGCTACAGGTAGGCATGGTTCTGGGTGTTGGGTCATATCAGTTACAAAAAATGCCAGTTTTTCCATCTTCTTAAATAATGGAATATTGCCACAATTTTTATTACTAACTTCTGGATTAAGAAGGACCTATGTCACATAATAGAAAAAAATCTCCCTTCCACCTCTTGCTCTGAGGACCTGCCTAACTTCCCAGAAAGCAATTGTCAAGTGCTCCAGGCTAACCAGCCACCAGACGCTGGCATCACAGGAAAAATCAATATGCTGAGTCTGTACAGAAAAAGTAATAGGAGAGCAGATGCATTTCCAATTCCCTAACTCATCAACACAAAAATGTAACCACCTAGTTTTTCTTTGTAACCTCCAAGAAAATCTAACCTAGTTCATTCCAGTTATACTCGGACATGTGAAGATCTTGTTTGTTTCAAATTAAATTCCATCAATTTAGGATTTACCCAACACTACCTACACTCTTCCTTCGTTGCATATAAGTGTATAGGTCCTTACCTGGTATCATGGTACTGAGCACAGGTACCAGATTATATATGAGCTCTGTCCAAGCTATGATTCTGTGAGATGTTTGAACCTATTTGACCCTCTGGTTATTTCTTCATGCCACTATCACTTCAGGTATCTACATCCATGTCTACTCCTCAGGCTATATTGATTTTCAGCTAAAATGTCTATTTATCCAACCCACAAGGCTTTGGGTTGGCTGGCTCTCTCTCTTTTACTCTTGCTGTGCTAATTTCTGAGTAAATTCTTTTGACCTCTTCCCAATGAGTCCAGGAAATGTTGAAATGCATCATTTTTGCACTTCCGATGCTACACAACACCACTACAATGTAGGATTTTGAAAGCTTACATGGGTCCCTTTTGAAGGTCCCTTTTGCACATAGGTCACCAAACCTCCCTGAGCAATTGTCACCCCACTCCCATGCCAGGACACCCCCTGGGAATTGAAACCACAGAACCCTTTCCAGGCAACACCGACTCTTCCCTTCTGACGTTGCTTTTTTCCCAACTGACTGAATCCTTAATTCTAGGATGATACTTAGTTTTCACATCATTACAAATGTTTCCTGAATGTACTTTTATGAAATAAAATTGGACTCAAAAATGAGATTCTGTCTTAATCTATTCTCTCTGTCTGGAATATCAAAGGTATGCTCAGAAATTTTAAAAAAGTGAGGATAACACTATTGTGTGACTCTGGCCTCCTTCTGTTATATCAATAAATGTGATTGCCCTGGCTGCTGTCTGAAATGGCAGGTATAGTCATTGGGTAAGACAGAATTACAGGCAGGCTTTATCTGAGAATTACTGGTTATGGGAGAAAAATATCTGATAAAATCAATATTTTTAAAATCTCAACTCATTTTATGATATGCAGAGAAAAACAGACATGTTTAAAACAACATTTTGAAAAATAAAATTAAAAATTATAAATGTTTTATCTCATCCTTAACCAAAGTTTAGTTATGATCACAAATGTGTCCTTAATTTTTAAAAATTTTAAAAAGACTGAATCAAATATCAAGGATTTTCCTTGATGTTATTTTTCAGAAAATTAAAGTATGAAAATTCAAAACAACCTTTATTTAACATTTTACTTCAAGGAATAATAGCAATTATAATTACAATAATAATAGATTGATTTTTTTAAAAACGGTCGGTGACACCACAGGGGCATCACTTCTTTATTGTACAAATTTTTCTCTTTTGAATTTGTTTATATTTTTCTCGTTTGTTCTTTTTTCCATTTTAATTGTTTTATGTCTGCAAGGACCTATTTGTCATGTCTGCAAGGACATATTTCTCAATATGTCCTTTACATTTCATTCAAGTGGCAATCCAACACAATTTTCATCAACTTCATGAAACTGATCACTTCTTTCTCATGATCATTTCACACTAAAGTTCAAGCATATTTAACTATATCAGAAAATTAGTGGGTGATATATTGGAACAATGGCTGAAGATAGACACTATAGTGAAGCAAGGAGAAATGGTTAAGAGGAAAGTAATTCTAGAAGTTGTCGGTTCACTTAGGAGTATTTGTGTTCTGACGATTCTTACTTGCCTAGACAGCATTGTCACTTCAGGAACTGGCATATTGAATGACACGATAACGTGAATCTTCCTGTTGACTCATCAGTTAGTATCATAATTTTGCCTCATCATGTATACAAATATTAACATTTGGGTTAATTTGTAGGTATTTCTACTTTATTTTTATTTCAATAGGTATTGGGGGAACAGGTGGAATTTGGTTACATTGATAAGTTCTTTAGTGGTGATTTTTGAGATTTTGATGTACCCATCACTGGAGCAGTGTACACTGTATCCAATTTGTAGTCTTTTATCCTTCACTCCCCTCCCACCCTTCCACCTGAGTCCCTTAAGTCCATTGTATCATTCAAATGACTTTCCATCCTCATAGATTAGCCCCCACTTATAAGTGAGAACATATGATGCTTGGTTTTCCATTCCTGAGTTACTGCACTTAGAATAAGGGTCTTCAACTCCATTTAGATTGCTGTGAAAGTCATTATTTGTTTCCTTTTTATGGCTCAGTAGTATTCAATGGTATACATTTTCTTTATTTGTTGATTGATGGGCATTTGGGCTGTTTTCATATTTTTGCTATTGTGAATTATGCCGCTGTAAATGTGTGTGCAAGTGTCTTTTTTATATAATGACTTCTTTTCCTCTGGGTGGATACACAATAGTGGGATTGCTAGATCAAATGGTAGATCTACTTTTAGTTCATTAAGGAATCTCCATACTGTTTTCCATAGTGGTTGTACTAGTTTACATTCCCACCAGCAGTGCATAAGTGTTCCCTTTTCACCACATCCATGCCAAGTGTTCCCTTTTCACCACATCCATGCTAATATTTTTTTACTTTTAAATTATGGGCAGTCTTGCAGGTGTAAGGTGGTATCCCAATGTGGTTTTAATTTGCATTTCCCTGATAATTAGTGACGTCGAGCATTTTTTCATATGTTTGATGGCTACTTTTATATCTTCTTTTGAGAATTATCTATTCCTTAGCCCACTTTAATGGTATTATTTTTTTTCTTATTGATTTGTTTGAGTTCTTTGTAGATTTTGGATATTAGTCCTTTGTTGGATGCAAAGTTGTGAAAATTTTCTCCCACTCTGTGGGTCATCTGTTTAGGCTGCTGATTATTTCTTTTGCTGTACAGAAGATTTTTAGTTTAATTAAGTGCCATCTATTTATCTTTATTTTTGTTGCATTTGCTTTGGGTTCTTGGTCATGAAGTCTTTGCCTAAGCCAACATCTAGAAGAATTTTTCTGATGTTATTTTCTAGAATCGAATTTTTATAGTTTCAGATCTTAGATTTAAGTCTTTGATGCATATTGATGCATTTTTGTATAAGGCAAGAGATGAGGATCCAGTTTCAATCTTTTACATGGGACTTGCTAATTAACCCAGCACCATTTGTTGAATAGGGTGTCCTTAACCCACTTTATGTTTTTCTTTGCTTTGTCAAAGATCAGTTGACTGTAAGTATTGGCATTATTTCCGGGTTCTTCATTTTGTTCCATTGGTCTATGTGCTTATTTTCATACCAGTACCATTCTGTTTTGGTGACTATAGCCTTATAGTATAGTTTGAAGTCAGGTAATGTGATGCCACCAAGTTTGTTCCTTTTGCTTAGTCTTGCTTTGGTTATGCCAGCTCTTTCTTGTATCTATATGAATTTTAGCATTGTTTTTTCTAATTTTGTGAAGAATGATGGTGGTATTTTGATGGGAATTGCATTGAATTTGTAGATTGCTTTTGGCAGTATGGTCATTTCCACAATATTGATTCTACCCATCCATGAGCATGGGATGTGTTTCCATTTATTTCTGTCATCTATTATTTCTTTCAGCAGCGTTTTGCAGTTTTGTAGAGGTCTTTCACCTCCTTGATTAAGTATGTTCCTAAGTGGTTTTTTGTTTGCTTATTTTGTTTTGTTTTTGTTCTTGCTATTATAAAAGAGGTTGAGTTCTTGATTTGAGTTTCATCTTGGTCGCTGT